TTGTTGAGTTGTTCCAAAGATTAGTATATCATCGCTGATGTTTAACACACCATCTATTTGGTTTAACAGTTGTCTTATTGTGTTTTGAAAAATCTCTGCAGCGGAATTTATCCCAAAACTCAGTCGTTTATATTGATACAAACCAATATGTGTTGAGAAAACTGTTATATACCGTGAAGATTCTTCTAATGTTAGTTGGTGGTAGCCATCTTTCAAATCAACCTTTGAGAAGACTGTTGCGCCATTTAACTGGGCAAATATTTCTTCAATAGTTGGTGTTGGATGCCTTTCTCTAAGTATGGCTTTGTTAGCCTCTCTCATGTCTACACAAATTCTGATAGAGTTAGGATCGTGATGTTTGGGAACTACAACTATTGGTGAAACCCAGGGAGTTGGTCCTGTTGCTTTTTCAATGATGTTTTGTTTCATCAGTCTTGTTATCTCTTGTTCAACTGCTCCACGAAGATTTATTGGAATTCTCCTGTGTTTATTTGCTACTGGAGGAATTGACTCATCAATATGTAGCTTGACAGTTTTGTTCTTGAGACAACCTATGCCATTACATAAATTAGGATGCTTGTTTTTGATATAGTTCATGTCCATAGGTTGATATATCATCATAGATAGTTGTATCAGCTGCAATTTGTTTGCTGTATCATAGCTCAATAATGATTCACTGTTGCCTTTTATCACAAATACATCTGCTCGCGTTTGGTGGTTGTTATAATGGAACAAACCTTTGAATTTTCCAACTACTTCTAACTGTTGTTGACAGTTGTACGGGAGAATCGATGAGGAATCTGGTTGTAGCGACTGCTGATGAAATTCTTTAAATGTGTTTGAGCTTATCAGATTAACAGATGAACCAGTATCTACAATGAAATTGATTACTTTCCCATTCAACTTAACATGTACCTGAGGGCATTTCATGGCTGTTCTGTCGTTTGGACGAATTGTTGTTTTGAAAGATGTCTCAGAATTAGTTGACTCTGGCTCCATATTAAGCTCATTAAAGCGAATTTGTGCTCTGTTCTTCCTCTCTCCATTATGTTTCTTGTTTATGCTAGTATTTGTGCCATGGTTGTTGTGTTGGGGGTTTGCTCGTGATTGTGCTTGTTGCTGTTGTGTTGATGTAGTGGACATGCAGACTCGGGCGTAGTGTCCCTTCTTGCCACAACTTCGACAAATTACATTTAGAGCAGGACAAGCTCTCCTCCCATTTGGATGCCATTTGCCTCCACAATTTTTGCAATTGTTCTTGCTCGTACCACTGTTGGCTGGTGCGGTTCTGTGTTGCGTTTGTTTGTTTAGGTAGCTACATTCTTCTGTGCTTGTGTTCATGACAATCTTGTCTTCAATGACCTTCAGTTGATTAGCTGTGCACTCAATTGTACGTGCTCTGCTCAATAGATCATCGAGATTGGGTTGTTCAGTGAGTCCATATCTACGTAGTTCTGTGTACTTCGTGTTCATGATGATTTGAAGTTTGATTTCTTCATTTGGGTTCTCAAACGTGCAAGTCTTGGATAGTTTCAGTAACTTTGCGTAAAACTGATCAATTGTTTCATTCTCGCTCTGTCTGGCTTGCCTAAAATTAAACATTTCAAATTCTTTGTTGACTCTAGGGGTGAAATATTGTTTGAGCTTTCGTTTAGCTGTTAAATAAGGTGATTCATTGGGCTGTGCTGTGTTTGCTGGTAGTTCAGGAAGTGACAAATATAAATCATGAACTTCTTCGCCTGCGTAGTGGAGAAGCATGGCTTTCTTTCGGTCTTCATTATCGATGCCTGCTGCTATGAGATAGTTGTCAAAACGGTTGATCCACTTTTCCCACCTTGAGCCAACGTTATTGGGGTCTTCTGCTATATGAAATGGAGGTACTGGTGTTGAGTGTGTGTCCATGTTCTGTTATCTTTTTCTCGATTCGTTTGTTGCGAACCACGTGTTGTGTTGAGGTTATGTTTTTCTCCTGTTGTCTGTTTTGATGTTCTGAGTGTTCGTTGTTTTTCGCTTCGTTGGTCTTCTTCTGAGTTCTTTTAATACTCGTCGCCAAAATGTGATGTCTTGTTTGGGGTAGGTAATATTGTTAGTTTCTCAAATTACACGAGCTCATTTTTCTAACTTATATATTCTGTCAACTCTCATTCTCTATCTCTTTTTTTAAGCTAGTACATTACAGAAGCATGTCTAGGAATATCACAATCGAATACAGAAGTTCACGAAGCATAACGAAAAAATTGTGGACACATGGGCCATAAAGGAAATGAAAAGGCCAAGCCTCTGGCAAGACACGACTCTAAGGTACGAAGTCGGCTCTACCAATTTCTAAAAACACCCAAAAGGAAACACTCAAAGAATGCACGAAATTAGGTCATCATTAGAGTCCGGATTTATATGCACACAATTTTTCTGAAATATGCTCATACGTATATATCGACCCAAAAGAGCTGAAATATCCATACACTTTTACAAAATATGCACTCATTGCGATTTTTAGTGGAAAAAAAGTATTATAAGTTATGAAAAAAGTGTCTTCTTTTATTAAAATGCAAAAACATATTTTTTTTAATAAATTTGATGCAAAAAAGTTTTAATTTATAGATTGTTAATTAACTTTGGAATTTATTATCTTACCGCATGCTTTGTACAAAATTGTTTCGTCACTATAAATTAGTTCTGGATTATCTTTAATCAACGACAAAACCAAAAAAGTTCTACATAAAATCCGGACTCTACTCATCATCAAGAATGGCGGACCTCAAACCTGCGTCAGTCGTAGAAGAGCCTGATAAGAAACCTAGCCAAGAGCTTCTGAGGCTCTATAAAATATATCTCCAAATTCAGAATTGTAGTGGGGCTTCCCATAGCACATGCTGAATGAGCAAATTCTATATTCCTGAACGGCACTTGCTGACACATGGATTTTCAATTCTGGAATCATATTATATTCGAGATGCGCCTATAAATTGTACCTTGGGCTTCTAGCAGAGGACTGGACACAACATAAGGTGTAGCACACAATCGACTAAAAGACCTCTGTGTGTAGTATAACATCAGTTCCCTCCCCCCTCAAAAGAATAAAACCTCTAATATTCTTTCGTTTTCCACTTTTTATCTTTGCTTTTTGAGATTTTTTTTTATTTATTAACATCGAACTAAATTTTCGTCTGAATAAAGTCAAGCAGAACGAATAATTTAATAAATAAATCTTTAGATACGTGAAGAGTTCTAATCAGAGACAGTGAGCAACCGCATTAAAATTTTTGGAAAACTTAAACTTCTTAACAATGAATAACCTACTATTAAACATCCTGGGAAAAATAAAACTTCCTTGTACCTCTTTGAAAGTCGTCCAAAAATGCTCGATAAATCTCCAAAGAACTCCCGATACCAGGTTCAAAGGCTGACAAAATTTTTCGAATGACTCCCAAAGTTGCACAAGAATTTAGTTAAAATTTCAGTACGGTATTTCACTTTTTCAAGAAATTAGACTTCATTATCTCCAAATGTATACTACCATTTATGAATTTAACATAAGCACTTTGTGATTGAAATTACTGCATATACAAAGAAGTAATATGTGTTTAAGTTTCAAGTGATAATTAGACAACAAAGTTATGAGGTGGCATCATGTTTTTTTTTTGTAAGAACAAATATACTTCTACTAATTTTTAAATATCCAATAATATAATACAACATTAAAAATAACACTAAATAAAATAAGATAAAGAGTTTCTAAATTAATCAATAACATTGGTCGTTTCGTTCAACAATTTTTTGAGGCACCTGTGCATGTATTTTAGATGTATTACGTGATATTTAAAAAAGTATCATAATGTTGCAGACAAAGAAACGTCATTTGCATACAAGTTTTCAAATGTCTTTGATAGAATTTTCGTTACATTATTACCGTCAGTTTAAAAGTTTGGGTTGAAAATGCAACTAACTATCAAAACAAATTTTCAAAAATCCATGACTGTCTGATCGTATTTTTTATTGCTCTCTCGGTATTATACATATTAGGTATACCCAATCCTGCCGTAGCACATACAGACACACATTACCAGTTATTAGAATACTCCAAAAAATCCAATTCTGCGCAAATTACTGAAATTTATATCCAGGACGATAAAGATAATGAAGAGTAAGATCTATTATTTTTAAAAGTGTTCATTATAAAGTTATTAATATTCATTTTTAGATCTAAATAATACGTAAAGTAAGTAATCAGAACATAATATACATAATTAAGGCAATTTATCAAAATTAGGATACGCATTTAAATTAAGGCTAATGCATAATAGTTCACAATATTTTAATTTGCGGAAAGTAGGTACCTAGTAAAATAGCGTCAAAATATTACACTTAGATACGTTCAAAAACCTGTAAGATAATAATCTAAAACGATAAATATTCATCGCAAGAGTATTTATTTTAGTAATTTCATTTACAGACTTTACTTTAGATTTCAACATCAAAAAGTTTTTATCCATTTAAGAAACCTTAAAATTATTATCAATAAACGAAAAACTATATGAATGTAAATGCTAATGCAAATAGATGGTTTCAAAGTGAAGTTAATTTCAATAGGTTAATCTGCACTGAACTTTCCCTCTTTAAAAAAATGTAGCGATATTTGTGAAAAGAAACAACGTATGGTGTTCGTACATTGTACCTATCTCGAAATTTCACTAACGGAATTTGGTTTCACTCCCTAACTTCCGTATTTTATTTTCTCAGTTCTGTTAATATTCAGGAGAGCTAGTTTGTTATTTTGTGGTATAAGTAAGCACAACATTGGGAAAGGAAAAATTAAATAGCTTTATTGGATCTTTTTGCTTCACCTAGTGGTTGATATTGTTCTTATAGTACTTAGTTGAGATCCTTTCTGTTACACAATCACAAAAAATGAAGTACCCAATACTAGTAATGCATCATTACATGAGGCACGTTCATTTAAGAAAAAAAACGAATGTAAACATCACCTTTCTTATACTTACCTACAAATCCAGGAGGACAGGAACAGTTAAAGGAAGCAACCCCGTCAATGCAAATTCCTCCATTTTGACAAGGTGAAGACCAACATTCATTCCAGTTAGTCTGACACTGAATGCCAGTATATCCATCGACGCAGTAACAAAAATAAGTTGAATTTAAATCGTCTAAGCAAACTCCATGTATACAGGGGTTACTGAGGCAAGCAATACCACTCCAGACTTCTGCCGTCAACATAAATATCAGGGATAAGAACAGGAACAGGCTTCTCCCGTCGCTACCGAACGACAGCATAACGCATTATTAGCTGAAATACTAAATACATATCTGTTACCTCAAAATGTTATTTTAAAACTAACTAGGTTACTAGAGACTATGTAAGACTAACAGGAGTATTAATATTTAAAAAAAAAACTAAAACTCAAATATAATTTGCGGACCAATGTTGACACATACTGATTTAAAAAAAAAAAAAAAATGTTTACCTCACATCTAAAGCACAATAAATATTACATTACAGGTGTACTTTTCAATAAAAAAATATTTAATAATATCTAGTTTTTATAATAATGTCATCAACATTTTCGGAAGAGTAACCGAATAAATTTTAGTTTTGTAATATTTACAAATTTAGTTCCATGTTTCAAGACAGTATTTATTAATTAGTAAACTTAAATAAACATGTTTGCCTGCGATGACACCATTGCGAGTTACGAGTTTATATTATTTTTTCATATAACAATGGTCTACAAACACTTCGCATGTTTCAATTTGGTATGGAGGTTTTAGGTCGGACATCCGCAGGTACGACCCATAAAAGTACTTAGATCTTAATTTAACATCACCTAAAGACAATGGAAGGAAGTTTCTCTTCGGGAAAGTTATGAGGCTTTGATACAGTTTATTGTTCTCTCCCAAGTAATTAAAAATTTGTGTCCAAATCGACAAGTCTCAATTTTTCGCAGTTATACCGATATCATCTTGGAGTTTGTGCGATAATACATTTTCCTAAAATATTTCAAACTTAATTAAATACGAAGACGAGTACGTAATCGCTTCTAATTCGAATGAGATTTGTTAATCTAAAGTTATTATTTTATATTATGTATTTTACTTATAAGTCTGCTTTAAACTAAAGTCCGTGTACATTTTTATTGCAAAATCGAAGACATTTTGAATGGGCCAAATGTAAATGTTCCTCCGTTTATTTTTTAATATTTTTTGAAAAAGGCATTGAAAATTAAAATCACATAACCCAGCGAACACTCACAAAGTCCACATTTGACGAAAGAATGTTACACATAAAGAAATTGCAGAAAATTAACAAAATGCTTGTTTATAAAGTGTAGCAAATAAAAAAATATAAAGAAACGAAATTACAAGAAATTTTTGTTATTTGTTAAAAATACCCCATTTCTGAGAGTTTTCGCTGTTTTTATTAATTAGCTGAACACCTATTTCGATGTTTTACATTTGCTACCAATTCCTTTTTCGCAAATCAATAATAAATATTTCTTCATACATCTTAGCTCAATTTTCATTCCATTCACTTCCGTTACAAATAATATGTCTTCCGTATACGCGCCTATATCCCTACTTTCTCTCCTTCTTTGCACAGAATACTCTATAAAGTTTTTAAGTCACATTAATAACTAATAACGGACAATAAAAAAAAGATTTTGTGTATAATGTATGTATGTATTAAGTTAGTTTATATTGTTTAGATTTGTTGACATGATTTTAAGTTATTTTTTAACATTTATAGAAATATATATCTAATTTATCACAACAATTCCCTCCAGGAAAACTTAGCTTCTTGTTAAAAAATTGTACCTACACTTGTGCGAATTTTAACCAAAATTTGCTTTTTGTTAACGTTATGGATTCAGAAGTGACTGAATCATCAATTTAAATTAAAATTAACATTATATTTATTTTTAACCATATGTTGAAACATGTTGGTAAATCAATATTTAACATATGAGTGGTTTCCCGACATTTTAATTATTTTTTGAGATATAAGTACATATGTCAAAATCATATCATATTTACATCAAAAAATTGGTCGAAAGTTGTTTCGACAGAACAAAGACATGATATTCAAAAATAATTTTGAATAATGGAAGTCCATTCGGTATCATATACCCAATACTAAGTTGTTGTTTATAAATAAAATTACGTCATCACTATGTATTTTTTTTATTAATAAAACTCTTTATTATAAAAAAATGTGTCCGATATATCGTATTTTGACACATATTTAACTGGGACCATTAAAGAAAAAGATAGACTGACTGGAATTTCAATTGCAGCGGCGCTTGAGACTATAGATTTCAAATAAGGTTAACTAGGTAAGTTTCAACAACTTATCAAATATATCGACTTTTTCGTAGGTATAAAAATTAAATGTTGCAATGTTTACCGTAACCCAATTATATTGTTTCTATGTTGCCAGAATTTCAAGGAAATGAAAATACGAAACATCCTTGAAGTCATCAATAAAATCAATCGATTTATACATTCATTTTGTGTACATCGTGTGAAAAATAAGACTATACTTATTTATAAAGCAAAAGTAATATTTTCTTGCGAGTCATATTTTTAATAAAAGTTTATTTGATAGGAGTATCTTTTTTGATAACGGCATCAAGTTTATGGAGAGGATGAATAAATAAAATTTAAATAATATTGCATGTTCACAAAAATGGCCAAAATTTTAAAACATTTTTAATTGATTATCTATATACACTATAAAATTTGACAGTATAACCTTTTATTTGATAAGATAACCTTATGTATTAAGTGAAAAATAAGGGTATATTTTATAACTATAGCTAAAATATCGGGATAAACATTTTCAATCAGATTTACATTACAAATTTTGAAAAATTCGTAAAATTTACCCCAAGTTGAATAGCAATTAAGCCATAACCGCACTATATTTTCCGTCGTATTTTTTTTACTTCCCAAGCGTAAGGTAGCGAAGTATTGTAATCTATTCCATCCGGCGAACGCCTAAATTAATTTTGTCTTGACGTTTCATGACTCCTATATAATCAAACGCTAATCAAAATTTAACTGATCATCCCCATCAGCAATTTAATGACGTCATTTTAAAATTTTACATAGTAAATGCTATTTGATAATTTTACAAAATAACTCACTGTTTTATACTTGTAGTTTATGAATCCGCCCTAATTTTTTACCTTAGACATCCAGATTTTTGAAAAACAATCAAAATTGTATAACATTTTACAACGCAGCTTAGAAATTGTAAAATCGAATGCTCCAAAATCTTGCACGTTTTATCGTATACATTGTAAATCGTTAATTAAAATATATCTGTTCATCCCCTCTAAAAACTATGACGTTATCTCAATATTTTCATGGCTAAATCCTGTCTAACCCTTCGTTTACATTCACTTATAATTATACCTACTACCTACAAATTATACTTACATATACTTTAGTCTATTGTTATTTTTAGAATTTATATGACAATATTTTGTGGAGAGATAAATAAAGATACGCACTCTGTGGGGGTATAAATAAAATAAATTATTAGATTATTACCATTTTCAAACATCGGTATTTCAATTTTTTCAAATAAAACACCCTGTATTTTATTACTGAAACTTCTTCAATTTTGGTTATTCTCTTTCTTTTTTGGTAAGTATTTTCTATATTTTTTATGTTTATCTTTTCTTAAAATATTGTGACACAGATCTTAAAATTAACATTTTGCTATTTTTTTCAAGAAGTTGGAATAAGCTAGCAACGTCGCATAGGAATTTCAAAAATAAACAATGGTTATAAAGCTTATGAAGAGACTAATGAGAATGTAAATATGAAAATATATATTAGGTGTTCTATGTAAAAAAAAAACTAAGTTGTGTGTTATGTCTCAAAAACCAAACACTCTATGCAGTCACCCTGTACATATCTTTGCTATAAAATTTTGTCATGAAAAAGCTCACTGGGAATATACGCATAGCATGCTTATTTAATTAATTTATTTCATTATTATATTTCAGAGGCAAGAATATTCTTGTGTAAGTAAACGACACTGAAACAGCAACAGGAAAACGACGTTTTCATATTTTATAAGATAAAAACGCCAAGAAAAGAATTGTCAAGATGACCTTATTAAAGTACTTTCGTCAGCTATCGTTGGGGAAGAAGAAATTATAGCTAGAAAGTAAAAAAAATACGGTGGTTGCTCTAACTGGGGCGTTTTCTTCTTTGTACATGTAAGTAGAACCTACTATTCATTACATCGTTATTATTTATTAATATGACGATATTTATGTTGTAACTTATGTGTTTCAGATGTGATTTTATGTAAATAAATATATATGCATACTTAAAATATACATATGTAGAATTTTAAAAAATGTAGCACATTAAAATTTCAACAATGAACGAGCCAACGAAATGAAAACTAGATACTTAAAAGAAACATCAATCTTGTGCTATTATCACAGGAGCAACACTAACACGGTGTTCTCTAACTATCGATTATTTTAGCCAGATTGACACAGAAACCGCAGAATTTTGAAGAATTCAATAATACAAATTTTCTCGCATTTTTGAAAAAGCATTAACTCGTTTTACTTACATAGGGAGTAATCGAACAATTCCGTTACAATTGACCACCACCTGATACACTTTTCCGGATATAAAAATTTTGTATGCGCGCCGGAAAGGCGATATACTTCCACACCGCATACGGTTACCGTGGTAACGTATAAACAACACAGGTGAGTCAAGAAACGACAGGTACGCAAAGGTAAAAGTTTTATGACCGCACGGCCTACTGCGGTCTTGGGGAACGGTGTCGATGATTCAGTATTCTCGAGTCAGTTGTTTACCGTTGCTAGTGTGGGTAGGATGTTCTCTACTAGATTTCTTCGTACTTCCACAAAAGTGTGTTTTATATCAAGTAAAGTTAACCATTGTTGATTAACAATATGCCGAACAACAAAATTGTTGGAAAAACCTTGTTGTTTATATTGTCAAGGTAATGTCTAATGTGTAGCGTCTACTATTTGACTAATGCTATTATTGAATAGTTATTGTTGTTAGATAACCAGTATTTTAACAATGTTACGTTACCTTGGGGTTATAATAACATGGATTGATTTCGCTGGTTCTGAAACAGTTAAATAACATCGTATTTTAATTGTGGTTGTTTTAAGTGACAATTCAATAGTCCAGTCCTGTTTGTCCAAAATATTTATTTTAAATTATGCAGATACCGGCTAACATATCCATAAATAACAGGAGTGAGTACATTTTTATAAATCTTTCCTGAACCTTAATAAATGCTTTTCTAAAAATGTTTCAAGTCTCCCATTCCATTTGTAATCTGTTGGCAATTTTATTATTTAATTTATTCCGAAGAAAACAAAACTGATTATTTGGGAATATAGACATATTGTGACTATTATTACTTACAATTATTTGTGTGAAAAACAAAAAAAAATGGGGCAAGATGGGCAATGTCATGTCGTTTTTTTAAACCAAAGATTCATTACATTTTTTCAAAAAATTATTGAACAAATCTTTGCTACAAATGTGTCTTAGTTTGCATTAGTGGTTGTTGGGTTTCCGAGACAAGGGAAGCTCTATGCAAAAGCTTTTGAAGATTTTTTTCCTTTATACAAAAAAAACACAAGAAGGTTATTCTGATAAAATCTTTGTTACAATATTTTACGCAGAGGTAGATAGAGATACGCACAATTAAATTAAATGGTACTATACAGAGTGTTCTAAAAAATATAAAACATTATCATTTTCAAATGTCGATATTGCAGTTTTTTCAAATAGGACACTCTGTATTTTTTAACACATGTTACTCAATTTTTTGTTCACTTTCTTTCGATATGTCAGGGTGTCTCTTAAAAAAATTGTAACGTTTTAAAACACTCTGTACATTAAGACTCAATTAATTTACACCACAAAAAAGCGCGTACTTTTGTTTATCTCCCCATAAAATATTGTAACATAAATTTAAAAAATAAGTCTATAGCAACTTTATTTACTAACCTTTGCATTGCTAAAAAAATTCAAGAAAATTGGAATAACATAAAGTCGCTTGAGAATTTTTAAATTAAACTGGTTGTAAAGCCTAGAATGAGGCTAATGAGAATATGTAAACATATAGAGGATGATCTATTTAACAAAAATTAAATTGTGTATTATGCCCCAAAAACAAAATACTAGTCGAAAATATTTTTAAAGGTCCCTACAATTTAGGCCGCGACTTTTTTGTTTTCAATAATTAATGAAATATCGACGAAGGGGCGCTTTATGACTCACCCTATATACAAGCGTGTGCAGTCCTCGATTTCTCATTAATTTTAAAATACACAAAAAAAGTTAAAAAAAAAAGTTGTATGATTCTTTGTGTAGCATACACTAAAAACCTAGTTTTTTATAGGATATTTTATAAATTTGTACATATTCTTCTTTATAACCGCGGTTTATTTTTGAAATTTCGATGCGATGTTATACTAGACGCAAACATTTAGTACGTTTATGGCTTTGACGTTTAAAGTACCGACCCTTCATAAAACTTAGCAAATGCAAACCATGTCACGTATCAGGGCCGGCTGAGACAGTACTGCCCTGTGTTTTTACCAGAAAAGGTCTTTTCAGGTAGGTTATCACTATCAGTAAGCGGGCTTACGACATCCGGCTGTGAGGACCTACTGAATTATAATGGGAGTTAAATTGATGCGAAGTCATAAACGCACTAAATGCTTGCGTCCAGTATACCACATTATTTCGTTTTTCTTGCATTTTTTGCAAGGATTACGCACTTTGTTGTGGTATCAATTAAATTAAAATTTAGTATACAAGATGTTTATAAAACGTGTAAAATATATAACAATTTTTAAATACCGATATTTAAATTTTTTTCAAATAGAACAACCTGTATTTTAATACTGCACCATATTCATATGCATTTTTTATTTTTTTCTTTCTTCTTTGTTAAGAATTGTTTAAATCTAAAGTCTATAGTTATATGTATATTTTAGAATTTTTCAGTTTTTAATGGACACACTCAATATATTGAAAGAAAGAGAAAAAAACGGAATATGATGAAATAATAATAAGGTTTGAAAATGATATATATTTTTTCAAACACTATAAGGTAAAACTCAATTTTATGAATATCATGAGAAAACGCGTACCTTTGTTTGTGTCTCTATAAAATATTGTAAAGTAACCTCATTTGACATACACCTGTTAAAACTTTTATTACTTAAGCGGCTTAAGGCAAACCACCCTTATAAGTCAAACTGGCTATTGTATTACTTAACTCAGTTCACAGCTACATTATGCCAACAATGGACAGTAATAATCTTGCGGTTCGGATCCACAAAGCTTACAATAGCCAGTTTGACTTATAAGGGTGCTTTGGCTTAAGCCGCTTAAGTCATAAAAGTTTTAACAGGTGTATGTCATTGTCAAATGAGGTTACAGTAACACAGGGGTTAAAAAAACCCTAATGCGAATTTGTTCTTGAACCCTTGAATTGAAAAATTCAACGCAATCGGAATAATGTAGCAACGTCGCATCGCAGTTCCAAAAATAAGCTGTCGTTAGAAAACCTTAAGAAGAGGACAATTGAAGAAAGTAAAAATACATAGGCTGTCCTATAAAAAAAAAATAGAACACTGTATAGTTGAAAATAATTTTAGTGTATGCTTCTCAAAAAACTGTGCAACTGTAGTTCTTTAATTCGACTGACCCTTAACAACAAAATAAATTCGATATTAAAGTTTTGAAGGAAAGATATTGTGCGTTTACGACTTCATAAGCACTGAACAGCGGATCCCCATAAAATCCCCACTGTGACGAACTTGTAAAAATTAGACCAAGTTTAGGAGTAGTTAAATAAGTGATAGCCGCCGCCTATATATTTCGCCGAACTTTACTAAATATAGACATCATTTTAAGCAAAGTTACTTTTCCATGTTTTTTCTTCTAGAATTCTATTGCATTTAAAAATTTTTCACGATCATATGTGTTGGTAGTTTAAACACAAAGCTTATATTAGTACAATTTTAAGATTGCATAGCCGTGTTATTAGTGTAGAAAAATAATTCACTCGGCTAAAACAATACTCAGACAAATTAATTACATGATGTTGAAAGCCGAGTACATCGCGACCTACAAATATTTACAAACAATATGTTAATATTCTATTTAGAGCGTTACTTTGTATCAAGTACAATTTTATTATTACTATTTTTATAGTAGGGTTTGTATTGAAAGCTTCTAAGAAAACGCAATATACTCATGAAATGTCTCTGAATCGGGGTTGTTTAAGGTCTGTTTATACAGTTATTATAGTTTTGGAAATTTCATTCTATCCTATACAATTTTATTGACGATAACGAGACGGACAGTAGTGCCAATGGTAAGAAATATTTATGGCTCACACCAGTTCACTCGAATTTGTCTGAGAACATTTAGCAGGTAGTTGTACTCATAAAATAATGGTCATTTCCGTTCATGAGTCCCTGTCCGGACCTGGATTATTCTGTTCTCTAACACCTGGAGATTACCGGCACGCGAAATATGTCTTGCTATTATACTACTGCCCATCTCGTTATTGCCAATAAAATTTTATAGGGTACAATTAAATTTCCAAAACTATACTGTCTACTCATTCATACTGGAATAAAACTATAGTGAATACAATAATAACGTTCTGAGTATATTGCATACATGCGATCTTTATAGACATCTCAGTTACATTTATTATGGGATAAAACACTGCTTGCAGTCTGTAATTTATGGTTTTGCGAACTAGACGTTCGAATTTTTCAAGTTTTAGGTTTTTTTTTTTAAATTTTATTAGTATACAAAAATAGTGGTCTCAATGTAATCAATATTCATTGTGTAGAATCCGCAACATATGCGAAGCATGCTAATGGATTATTATTAATAGTTACAACCAATTGAGGTCATTAAATACGATAAAAGTGCATATAATACCGGAGTTTGTTAATGCTCTGTCATTATTTATTACTCACTGTCATTAGTTATTATTACTCCTTGGCGCTGCGAGCCAGTGACGGTCTTATTAGACAAAGTGTTTATAAAGCACATTGTTTGAATGCAAAGCATAGGTATCTGTTTATTATTTCGTTGTACAGAAGAAGGTTTAATCGTTTTTTTTTTTAATTTAATTCGAAAAGAACATTTCATTCCTACATCTGTAACAGGACCGAATCTTATCTCAGCTTATTTACAATGCAAAATGGTGCATCGAAGTGCTGTTGCTCTCGCTCAGCTTTCTCCATCTCCGGTATGGTTTGAATTCTTTTACACAAAATTTAATTTATATTGAGGTAATTTATTAAAGAGTGAGCTACATTCACAGATGATAAAACAATTTAACATTCTCGTTCTTATTCAGTTCATTATACTGTTATTTTTTAAATTTTAGGAACAGTAATTTCTCTTTTGTCCCACCATTATCACACAGTTCAGTTTTCTTCTGTAGTTGTTTTAATTACTGTCTGCAACCAACTTTTAATTTTGACAACGAAACGTTAAAATTACTAGTAAGTATTATGATTAACAGTTTTTAAAGACTTGCGCTTGAGTCTAATCCGTCCCTACGACGACGATATCACGTCATAAACATTTTTTGTTCATAAGAATTGTTCTATTTTCCTTATTTTATTTTGAAACTTGCAAAATTAATTTAGCAAGAATAACGAATTTAACAAATGTAAGAAATTTGATTTAAAAGTTCACCTCGATAGCCAATTTTCGTGGCAAAAATGTAGACAGAAACAAATTTTAAATACTATTTATTTATATGGTCATGACTTTTTGATAATCAAACTACAAGATGATCGTTATTTTTTATATAAGCATAAAAACCTAAAAATTTACAACAATATTGTGACAATATTGTTTACATTATCGTCGGCTAGAAGTCAGTGAATGTGACTGCGATATCCTTTTCTCTACGGAAAGATCAAAATTTGAAAAATTGTTTAAGCACACTTAAAAGAGCTCTGTATTGTTTATCTTTTTGTAATTATACCTAGACAACTTACAACTTAAATAAATAACCCTAAACATTAACTGCCGAATATTCCAGACTTTTTCACTTATGTCTAGCCACTTTATCCTAAATTTTCTGGTATTAAATAAAGGCTATTTTCATCAAAATGAAACCCCTCTCGAGTTACGATTTTAATCGGTAATATAAGAAAGATAAGTTAATTTTAATAGAGACACTTTCAGTATTGTTAAGCTAATGCGGATGCATTTACACTTGCCATAGAAATTAAAAAAAAAGACAAAAAAGCTGTGGTGTGGGATAAATTAGAAGCTCTATTTTTCATTCTTTGAATTCTTTGCTACAGTGGAAAGAAAATATAGTAAATGAATAATCTTGACCAATATTTAATTTCATGTTTTCTCAACGTTTCACAGCTCACAAAATATTAATATACTTATAGTTTCCGTTTTCGCTTGACGTCATCAAAAAGAGTAGTAATAATTCTTATAGTCGTAAATTACGCTCTTAAATGAAGCTTATTGTCTGAACTGGTTTATTTTATGGCTTATGTCAATATTTTATGACTTAATAAATTTTAAAAAATACCATTACTATCTGTGTGAATATTAAAACTAATATTTTTGTCCTAACAAAAAAAAGTTAATTAAATTTTTATTGCATATTCGATTGATGCCGTGTTTTAGAGATTAAGAAAGCACAAAATACCAAACATAATGTTCAAATTATGCATTGCTATTATGTATTCCGCTTACGAAATAATAAAACAAACACTCCGTTTATCTTCAGTCCCATTATATGAATTTATTGTTGCAGAACCAGTGATAGCAAATGAGACAACAAAAGTAATGGATCCGGGCATTGTATGTTTTCAACATTGTGGCCCCAAAATATTTTGCTTTTTCTTGCCAGAAGTATGTCCTGTTTGTGATGCCGACCTTGCCCAAACTAACTTTTCACTATTGCCTTTTAGGTAGGTAATTTTGTTTTCGTAATATTTTTCTCAACCCTCTTTGCAGATATTTTATTAATGAATTCTGAATCATTTTCAGAGTTCCATACCCATTTATTCGCGCATCCCAATATCCTTGTGCCGTGATTATAAAACCAACATCTGGTGACTTTTTAAAGTGAGTCGGCATTGAAATTTTCATGGTCTAATTACCTATATGCATTTGCTTTAGTGATTATTACAATTCAATGGATTTACACATAGGTGTTACAACGTCGACGGGAATTATCGTAGAATTTGACAAACATGGTTTAAGAAGACATTGTAATGATCAGTGGGATCAGTGTTTACTTTTAGACCAAGCCCCAGGATCGTGGACGGAGCATTGGGATAACACTCTCCTTCAAGTGTGTCGGCAAAATTGCTGGTCCGCAAGATCATACAGCGAAAACAAACATAACTGTTATACTTTTGTGTTAACATTTTTAATGACTTTAAATTATGGAAATTTAAGCAAAGCCGCCAGCAACAGAACAGTTTTTTGTGAAAAGTTTATAGTGCCGCGAACGACTTCAGCTGGAAAGTATATTTCTCTTTATCGAAAACTCAAAGAAAGTGGGTTTTATGTGCACAGAACATCTCAGAAAACTAACACGTGATAATTTAAATGGTTATATTAAAGACAATTAACAATTATTAAATTAATACTTGTTCTAATGTAACATCTTCAACAGTGTACATTCCGACTAAGTAGGTACTTAAATTTATAATGTGCAGCAATATATTTATTTATTTTTTTTTATATATATAATGTGTTGTATATGAAAACTTATGTTTGTGTATAAAAGATCTTGTACAGAAGTGTTACTAACGTTGGACTAACTTGCCTCACCTTTTGTAGTAATAATTAATTTTATGCCCAGAAAGTTTTACAGCTAGTTTTCTACATCGAAGATCGCATGCAACAGTGTATATTTTTTTCATATTTATAAAAACTTTTGGATTTGTGCAAAAACAAGAACTATCATTCTGGATTGCATTCCGTGTTAAGATGGGTGACCACTTATTATAATTTCTCGAACGGAATTTCTTAGATAACAGTTTCGACATTTTTCTGTTTCAGTTGTAAAAAATACTATCGTGACTGAGGTACTTTTAAAAACTTCTATTCTACTATATTATGACTTTCATTCGCTAAATTTCTAAAATTTCTTTCGTGTTATGTCGATCTTGACAGTGCCAAATTTCAGTTTTTGTTTTTCGATTGCTAAACATAAAAAAAAATACGCGTTTCCTTTTCCGTTGGTCTGTCTGTCTGTTTGTCTTATATCTATGCACTCTTTTAAAAAACTGATGACATCAACTTAGAATAAATTTAATGTTTAGAACCTTTTCTCGATTCTTGCACACGTCATTTCTTACAGACATATACAGTACAGATGCTTAAATAATCACTTTTTGTGAGCAGAATCTTTTCGATAATGTTTTTAAATAAATTTAAATTAAGCGTTTTTACATGAGAATTGGCAGTTTATTGTAAAATTTTTGACCCCAGTATGTAGCATTACGTCTGGCTACGCTAGTCTATTATGAAATTCGATGGTAAAAAGACGTTAGGTACTTAGGTAGTAACAAAAGTGCATCTCTCCACGTGTTTTATAATTATGCAAGTGAATTTTTACATAAATCAGAGTGCCTAAAATAAAGCAAGAAGGTAAAGTAAGAACCAATGTTGATTTGGAAAAGTATTCTTTGCAATCTTTTTGGTATTGAAGATTAGAAAGAATTAGAACCGCACGACGTTTAATTTTAAATAGCTTTTCAGCAGCAGAAGAATATGAAAGAACAACAATAGAAATGCACCAATATCATAACCATGGACATGAAATTAGTGACCACAGTAGAAAAATCACGAAAATAGTCATTTTATGATTTTGACTTTTCTCGTTTGCGAACCAAGGGCATTTTAAGCTATTACCGCAAGGGTCAATCAGTCCTATTTAGCAAAAGCATCCTAGCCAATACAACAAAGAGCCAATATTTAAGTTTGGGATGGTGTCCTAAATGTACGCCTAATAAGATGCATTGACAAAGGTGGTGGAGGACTCAAACTCGTACAACACTATTCTCGTTGGTGTGCTAAACCTCTTATTGGGGGTGTAGTCATGTAGTTTTGCAAAATGTAATGCAAATGTACAGTTTGTCTGAATAAAAGCCAGAAATATTGCTATTTATTTTATAACTGTTTCTTTTAAAAAGCTTACGTTGTTCTCAAAGGACGTAATGTAGTAAAGTCGCCAAAAGTATGGTCAGTCACATACTACAAGGTTACATGGCCCCACTAAACTTAAGAATGGGATCTTATAATTCCTTTAGTGCGGCTGGTTATCGGGTCAAGCCTAGCATCATAAATCAAGAATGTGTCTCAATCTCTTCTCACCCAGTGTAGATCCGGCTTCAGCTATATTCTGTATTTGTACCTATCTACATTTTCTTTTCAAATTTTATTATTAAAATTGCTATACTACTACCTATATTTTTTTGTAAATCTATAATAGAAAATAGCTCACTCATTTATCTAAACTATATTATACAGCGGGCCTTCATGTAATTAAAAAAAAAGCAACCATTTTGCAATCACAGTTAAGGTTTTATTATCTATAATCGAGTATTTTGGACGAGTATCGAATTCTCCTGAATCCGCCTCTGTAATGGATTACGGACGAGAGCAGGTACAGTCGAAAAGATTTACAATTGTGGTTTGCCTCACTAACCACTCCATTGTCGACTTCACAATACCACGATTACGCAAGAATATGTTTCAAGTAGGAATTTCTAGTAGAAAAATAAGCATTTTGCAATTAGGCTCCGCCCCCCGGCTTACGACGAATAAAAAAAATCAGCAAGATTGAGATAGGGCGGGTGGACGGGGCTAATATTTTGCCCTTTTCTCTTAATATACGTAGTCAGCTTTTCACAACAAGAAACTTAAAACATGTTTGAAGTGCTAAATTTTTGTAGAGAAATATGGATTTTGCAATTACGCTCCGCCCCTTGGTCTGACAACAAATAAAAACTGCCTCACTATTGAGGTCGAGGCAGGTATGGGTGGGGCTTAATCTCGTGGGGAGAAGCCTAACTGCAAAAAAAATTATAAAATTTTTAACTTCTTCACCAAGAAAAACAAGAAAAATATTCCAAACCGTGCGTTGTTTACCACCATCTTTTCCGGAGAACATGGTGCTTCGATGGGTGCATATAAGTCATTAAAAAAGAAACGTTTTCTAAGTGTTGCATTTTTTTTAAAAGGCGGTGTATTTATACAAAATGTTATTTTGAATGGCGGGTGTTTGTTAACCATCCAACCCATCAACATGCTCCCCCCCGTGACGACGTGATTTTTGCCTGTACCGGAATTTTATCATTTAACTCAGGCAACACTGCATGTTGGTATTAAGCAAAAATATTGAAGAGAAGTATACATAGAGTATGCCTTATAGCTTCCATATATCAAAGTGTGACCAACATCTCCCGGGTGAGAGGAGTGAGGCGCGAGAGGTTTATTGCACCGCAGTACAGTGGCTGACGAAAAACAAAAAATATTGGTTTTTAAACAAAATGTGTGGTTAATACACTTCTCACACGTTTGCGTATCTGGTTTTTGTAAACATCCACTAAAATCTAGAATAATGACAAATGTATTAAAACTAATAGACAACAGTAAAATGTAGTTCCGCCACTGACTCGCGCTTATTCGTCAATTCACGAATGTGTACGAACACGATACGAACAGAAGAGAGGGTTTGTGATACAAAACAATGAGCCCAATACTCTCTCCCTCTCTATCTGTTCTGTACTCTCTATACTTTTAAACCTCGTTGGTATTAAGCATTGCGACAAATGTCAAACGGATGTCAAAATTACTTATTTGAGGTTATGGTTGAAAAATTTTGTTTTTATTTATAACTCAAAATTCAGTAAATTTATATAAATTACAGTTGAATTTTTGTGATTGTGGTATAAATTTGATGTTTATGCAGTTTTTTGTGTATGTGCAGCGTTTATTTCTGTGTTTATGATTTTACGACTTTACCGAATTGAATTCACATTCATTCTAGCAGCGTTTCCTGCATTTTTGTAATATCTATCAACGAAATAATGGGGAAGTAGGTATCCTTTTTAAAGTAGCAAAAACCCATTATAATGAATGCTGTTTGAAATACTGGCACTTTTCTAAAAAATCGTTATGTTTTCTTAATCATTTTGTATAGACATGCAGAGTGGAGAAAAGATGCAAAAAAAGCTAGAAGGAAACGAATTCGACAGTCCATAGCTAAAAATAAACATGATCTGGAAGAAAAAGGTTTGTCATAAATTAATTTCCTGAAATTTTAATATTACGAAAAAAATTGTAAAGATTATAACAAACGAATTGTTTTGATATTAGAACGACAACAACGTGAACAGTCTCCAACGTACATACAGCTCCTTCAGAAACACGAACAGGAAGAAGCGTTTCAAAAAGAAGAGGAAGCCAGGTTGAGACTTAAAGCTGAACAGCGTTGGTTGAAAATTGAAGAAGAAGCTCAAAAGCAGTGGCGTGAATTGCAAAAGAAGCTTGAAGAGGCGCGTGAAGAGCGAATACGACAAAATCTGCTTATTAAATTGGAGTGGGAAAGAGAGCAGCAAAGATTAAAAAAGATAAAAGAGGCCAAAGAAAGGGAAAGGGAAGAAAATGAAAGAAAGCAGCAATTGCTTGAACAAGAAATTGAAAACTTCATCGCTCATGGAGGATCAACCCCAGAACATTTAAAGCAGATAATTCAAATGAATCCAAATAAACCAACGTGTCCATTCTTTCAGAAAACGGCTGCTTGTCGTTTTCGAGATTCATGTTCTCGTAATCACATTAAACCATGTGTCAGTCGAATACTTCTTATACCGAATTTTTATTCACACTATAGTCTTGAACAAGTAGAAACAGAACACGGCGATTCTTCCTTGGAATTTGAAAATTATGAGACATATACGCATTTTAAGGAATTCTTTTTTGATGTTTTACCAGAACTGGAGAAATGTGGAAAAATTAGACAGTTCAAAGTATGTTGTAATCGTGAGTCTCACTTACGTGGTAATGTTTATGTTGAGTATAGTTCAACGAGAGAGGCAGTAAAAGGTTTTCGAACATTTAATGGACGTTGGTACGGCGGTAAACAATTGAATGTTGAATTTTGTAATATTGATTCATGGAAATCAGCAATTTGTGGTTACTAGAAATACAAATAATCAATTCCTGCAAATATATTAGATCTTTTTAGGGTTGCACAGTAGAAAGAGATGTCCCAAGGGGAGTTCTTGCAATTTTTTGCATGTGTTTCCCAATCCACATAATTTGTTTCATCAAGCTGACCATGATGAGCATCGGAGTCCTAGAAGGTAACGAATTTTTTTATTTCACTGTCCATCTAATAAGTTTATTAAAAACAGATATAGTTTACAGTTGTTTCTCCTTAATTAAAAAACAAATTTTTACTTTTTATCTACAAAATTTTATTATTTCAGACAGTTTATAGAATGTTTTAATTGATATTATGTTAATCACGCATATAATCAGACGTTTAGCGATACCTGATTGGCGTAAAATCGGTCACGTGGTACTTTAATGTATAAAAAAATTAATCGCAATCAAATATTTAACTGAGCTTCCCTAAATCCGTAAAATCTCAGTTTTACCTAAAATACTACAACAGATACAAATCTCTCATACTAAAAAATATTTAAAAAATTTCAGTACAAACAGGTTAGAATCAGAAGAACGTAACTGGAGGTGGTCCGAATCGCCTGAACGATTTACAACTACAGATGATAAAAAGGAGAAATCGAAGTATGAAAAGTATGCTCGAAATGGTACAAGGCCCAGAAGACGGTCAAGGACTCGATCACCAGGCCGAAGATATTCTAAAAGCAGAAGTAGCAGTAGTAGAAGAGAAAGTAGAAAAAGTAGAAGTTGTAAGAAAAGTTAATAAATGAGATTATAATGTACTGTTTTAAACTCCTGTTAATAAGATAGATTGTGAAATAGATTTCAGATTTTTAATTTTCAAAAGTTTTACGTTTTTCAGTTGTTTGTAGTAGTATATATAGGAAATAAGTAATGACACGAACAATTTGATTAAAAAAACAACGAACGTCAAATGATTCACATAACATACAAAATACAAACCAAATTTCTTAAATTTCCTACCGAATGCTGCATTTAATATATCCAACATACCCATGTATGTATAATATTTAAGTTTTTATAAAGTTCTACAACTGGTTTAAGCCCAAAACAAATCTAAGTTTCGTGAGTTTATGGGAACTAGCATTTGGCTGCATGATATTTTATTATGCTTATTTTTTTACTTCCTCTTTAATTTCCTTTTATTTTTCTACAAAAAATAGTGTGGAAAGTATAAATTACAGTGCACGTTAGAGAATGCGTTAATGTCTGCACAATATAATTTTCTCTGCAGTTGTGTCTATAGATACACATTTAACTTAGACTACTCATTTGACTTACGTAGGTAATATTACCACACCCATTTTATTTTATCTCATTCAAATAACTAAGGTAAATTAGATTACTGCATTTCACTTTCCAACATAAAAACCGTATGCGTTTATTCAAACTGGTTTTGTCCTGAAGGGAAAATGTTTGTATGGTAGCTAGTTATTATGTTACATTAATTAATAATAATAATAATAATAATATAGGTGTAGTACCAAATATTTTAGCTGAGAATTTAAAATCTTTACAAATAGAATAACGAAATAATCGAAGGCTAACAACGAAATGATACATACAAGTATGTGGGCCTTCATTGGTCCTCCCATATTAATCATATCGAAAGTAAATAAGGCTCAAAGAACTGTGGTGACCGAATTTAAATCAAAGTTTTCGCGCTGAAATTAATTGACAGCGGCGCGAAATCACATTTGAATAATTTGAATTTAAAAAAAAAAAAAAACGGGATGGCTAGGTTTAAATTAGTTGGTTTGGTAGTTATTAAAACGGGAGGAAGCCTTTGTTTAACGACGATCAAACGTATTTTTCATAATGATACAGTTGTTCCCAACCCGCGCGGTAAATTCTTGCGCCCTTTTAATCGAAAATTGCAGACTTCCGGTCGGACGCGAACACGTGTTGTGAATCTGTTTCTTTGTTTGTAAATTCACCAATCAAGCTAGTTTTTCTTAATAGTCAGCTAGTGCAAACACAATTTAACAATCAGGATTATTTAAATTAACCATTTGCTAGAAGATTTCATGAAATTCACTTAGTCAGGAAAAACACCTTATGTTTAATTACGAATAGGTCTCTGGATGCATATAATAAGCATTCACGTTCGGTAGAAGTAACTGACAGAAACTTTTCTGTGGTTAAGTTGCAATCTTAAGATCACTAAAAATTTAAGATTGGCATCAACTGTCTAATTTTCTAATTCAAATGTCAAATCTGAATTGTGTGGAAAAAAAACGAAGTTTTTCTAATTTCAACACGCTTCGTTTCAAGAAAATCCTTAAATACAGCATGGAAACAATTTCCATAAAAGTCATCACGAGAAAGCTCATTTTAAAGGAAAAGAAACAAGAAATATTTCGTGGTTTTCAAAAAATTGGGTAAAACGGAAACAGTTAAACTGGTGGCAGAAATATTCTCCGTAAAGTTCGCTAGTGTTGTCGAGTGTTTTTCGAATTTTAAAATAATACAGATACAGCGTCGCTTGTGCCGTTAATATTATAATCAGGATCAGAAAGACGACTGCGCAGATTTATATACCTACATGCTTTGTTGGTTCCGTTCTACAATTGGTTTTTAAGTTTTATATAATCGTTATTGTTTTGTAAGAGGTAAAACACTCGGCTTTGTAAATAATTGTACGTAATACACGTATAAATTTAGGTTTCCGAAGGCGAAGTTTTTCACATTTTAAACACGTTATAGCTGCCAGAATCAAATTTCTAAGGCGGTACCTATCTCCAATTGCGTGATTGTGGTGAAGATTTACTTTTCATTTTCTTGGATGAGACATGGATATACCAGAACGGATCCATGGTGAAATTGTGGACCCATGATGATGACAACAAAGCTTGTCCTCCTAAAAAAACTAGTGAAGGGAAAAGATTCAAAATTTTACATGCGGGTTGCTCTTTGGGCTTTTAGAGGGATGCGATTTTCTCCTTGGTTCAAAAATAGACTCACCAGATTACCACAAAACCATCACATTTTCGATATTTGACCTTTACTTACTTACATATCACATTTTTGATACCTACTTTCTGACATTCCAGTAATACACTAGAACAATTATGTCAGCAGTTACACAGCTTAAAAAAAAAGTTACCAAATCTAGTTACATCTACCGAACGTGAATTCCTTATACGTAAGTGTTACATTATAACACTTCTAAATTCTTCACACAAGATTGCTAATAGTTCATTTACGGCAGTTAAACAAGTTCATTATACTGCGAACTGGCGGGGGGTTATGATATTTTCTCCCCTTAGGTGGTTATCATGGTTATCACGATTAATTCATCGGGGCATGCTTCACGACGCCAGATTGATTAATTAATCAATGCATGCCCCCAACGCTACAGAAAATTTACGTTACCGAGACGCTTTTTCCTCGCAACGATTTTGGAATTTACATCACCGAGACGCTTTTTCCTCGGAGCGATGATTGGATATTTTTGTATTTGTTTATTATGTGTTTTGTTGGGGTAACCAGTTCGTAGTATTTTAAACTCTCAAAGTAAATTATTTTTTTGAAGTAACCAATCATTTAGATCATGATATAATTTGGTATAATGTAAACTCTTTGTTTGAACCGTTGATAAAGTGTGGCAAATATTAATCTCATGTAAATTTTGTTAACTCTGAAATTTTCACCTCGTACTATATTTCTTAATCTCACAATTTTAACCTCAGTAATTTTATTTATTGTATAATTTTAATTGAACGTAAATTTCATGTTCTACAGTTTTAACCTCTCATAATGTTTCTATTTGTACAAGTTTATTTCACACCAGATCTTTTGTTGCATAAATCCTTGCTAAGTTTTGTTTTGTAAATACTTTGTTGATGAATGTTTCTATCATATAAATTATTTGATGTCCGACTTTAATCTCACATAAGAATTATTTCTTGTTTAAAATTTCACAAGATTGTATGGCGAATTTAAATGTTGTGTATTGCTCTTGTTTTTGAAACTTTAACACTTGTTCGGTTGTCATTTAATATTAGAGTCATAGAGTTTGAACATTTAAATAGAATTGAAGGTAAATAACACAATATCACGTAGTGTCTGCGATGGGCGCGGTTCCTAGTTGAGGTAGCGGAATGTATCGCGCTGTCTGTACAAGATGTGCAGGCTTTGAATCAGATTTCAGTGGGAACGGTCTTGACGACGGGGTAGTAGTTGACCAGACTTCACCTCTAGTTTTACTTGGACGGCATGTTCGTCATGGAGGGGTGCTGTGCGGCAGGCTTTGGTGTAGATAGAATCACCGTCGCGGGGGAAACCAGCCCAGACCGAGAGCCCCAAACTTCGCTCACGCTACGACGCCCCCTCTGGGTATTTTGTTGTGCTCCTGTTAACTGCCGTAACTTAAAAAAAAAAAGGAAAAAGAGATCGGCCGCCACACGCCCGTAATAACTTGTGTTTTTGCATCCAGTTACTTGATTCAGCTTTTGCTTTGTTTTATTAAATTTGTGATATTCAAATAATTGCATTGATTCCAAACAGATGTACAGAATTTCCGTTTGTTCGTTTTTCATATGTGTATGTCTGTCAATTCGCGAGTGTTTTTCTTTCATATATCTTAAGGTGTTTGAAATGTAATATGTCGTCCGGGAATAAAAACCAAAGGGGGTTTTTGCGCTGAGGAGTAAATCTTCGAAGCGTCTTTCCCCCTGTGAGGGGTGCCGTACTCCCCCTCCAAACCAATTTTTGTCTATTATTTCTTGCGCTCTCGACAGTGTATGCACTTGTATGAAAGAACGTCTTCCCGCCATTTTTCAAAAACAAAAAAAAAACACACAACGTAGGTTCTCATTTGTTAGACGATCACAGCCAAGGCCAAACTTTGAATTTTTAAATTTTTCGCGGGCCCTTCAAACTGTTTCAAGGTCAAATTTTTAAGGCGGGAAGTTTGGGTTATCACAGAACAGTATCTGTAAAAATTAAAAATTTATTTTGAGAGCGCAAAATAAGCTGTTCGTAGAGCACTTCGTGGTAATGTTAAGGCGGTATCACTCCGGTTGGCTTGGGACAATTTTCTTCCCAATTTTGTTCTGGCTTAAAAGTGAGGGAAATTGACTGAGAGTGATAGTTTTTTTTTCTTAAGAATCCTTATTAGCAACGGGCGGAATAATATCTCAGACGCTCCAGCCAGTGCTGCCACGTCAGTACTTTAATTACAAATATATTTTTCTTTTGGACTATATTAACATAATAGAACATTTCAAGATCACAGATCTGTGGTCTTGTAGTTGAAAAATTAATAAGGGCACCGAGTATTATTATTTGAAGTAATATAGTAATATAGCAATAGTTTTTTTACTAGCTGTAAACACTCCTAGAGACGCACTGGCTACGACCTTGTGGACCAGATCAAAGCGTCCCCGCCACTCGCCGTAAAACACACCTTACTTCAACTGGGGGATTGCAGCCGTACGATAAGTTTCCGCGCAATGCTTATTAGACATATTTTGTCCCTGTTTTATTAAAATTTAATTTTAAGTGCCATTTTTTGTGAAAAAAAATTGGAAACATGCAAAAATTTACCACATTTAGATTGCGCTTACAACTTTCACACTGTGTTATGGACAAAGTTATCAAAACAGGGACATACAGTAGACCTTTCTTAACAAATTAGACAAAACTATTTTTCAATAAATGTTGTACAATTGATACAAAGTTATTACAAAGCAAACGCTGCACACGTAAAAATTGGTCGAAGTTTTCAACCTCGAACTCACTGCACCGCAAGGGTGTAAATTCCAAGGAGGTGCCGTCCGTAGATAGGTATACACACAA